GGGGGGGGGGGGAATAAAAAGTGTAAGGGGAGGAAATATTCAGTCTTTTCCGGATGAAAATCAAAATCCTTAGCTGGAACGTTGGAGGGTTAAATGATACTGGAAAGAGGGATACAATTAAATCACTAATTAAAGTTTGAAAACCGGATATTCTTTGTCTGCAAGAAACTAAATTGGAAGATTGGAATGGGATTCTAGCAAGACACATATGGGGCACAAGATGGGCTGGCTGGGCAGAACTCAAGACCAGTGGTACTAGGGGTGGCATAATTACTATGTGGGACAAAAGGGAATTGTATTGAAATTCAACAGGGTACTTATTCCATCTCAAGCATGCTGGAAAACACTAATGAGAACTTCAGATTCTGCTTTACAGGGGTGTATGGGCCACACACAAACTGGGAAAGAGAAGAGTTATGGAATGAACTAGGGGCTGTTAGAGGAATCTGGGATGAGCAATGGGTAATAGGAGGCGATTTCAATGTTTGTAGGTTTGAAAGTGAAAGGCATAATTCGCTGAGAAGATCAAGGGCCATGAGGGGGTTCTCAGATATCATTCAAGATCTTTGCTTATTAGACTTACCATTGCAGGGAGCTCAATTCACCTGGTCCAGAGGAGAGGAGAGGAGAATATCCAAGTCAAGTAGCGCTTCCCAAAGTCATCTCAGATCATTATCATATCATGTTGGAAAGTGGGGACTGGGATTCAAATCCATCCTACTTTAAATTTGAAAATATGTGGTTAAACACATAAGGCTTTCAGGATAGGATCAAGTCATGGTGGCAGAGTTATGAAGTCAATGGCACTCCTGACTTTGTACTGGTGAATAAATTGAAGCTACTAAAAAAAGATCTCACAACTTGGAACAGAGAGGTATATGGCAGAATTGCAGCTAGGAGGGGAAGATCCCTAGAGGAGCTTTTCTTTTTGCAACAACAAACTGAAGGCAGAACTATTTCTCAAGAAGAAAAATCCAGCATGATGAGACTTCAAATGGAAATTCAACAGCTGGCCAAAGCAGAAGAAGTTTCCTGGAGGCAAAAATCAAGATGTTTGTGGCTCAAAGAAGGATAAAAACACCAAGTTCTTTCAGAAAGTTGCCAATTCCAATAGGAGAAATAATCGTATTGACAGACTCAAAATTGAAGATGATTTCATTGAAGACAAGGCTTTAATCAGAGGTGAGATTTTAGACTTCTATCAGAAGTTGTACACTGAAAATGAAAGATGGAGACCTTCAGCCAGGCTAGAAGATGTAGCAACTTTATCTAGAGAAGAGAAAGAGTTGCTGGAAAGACCATTTGAAGAGGCAGAAGTTCTGGACATTATCAAAGCTTGTGCACCTGATAAAGCTCCAGGTCCAGATGGTTACACTATGGCATTTTACCAGAAATCATGGGCGGTAGTAAAGTATGATATCATGGGTGCACTTCATTATTTTCACCAGTATGGCAACTTAGTCAGGTCTTGTAATGCCTCGTTTATAGCTCTAATCCCTAAGAAGAAAGGAGCCACTGAATTAAGGGACTACAGACCAATCAGCTTGATTGATAGTGTTTATAAAATAGCCTCCAAGATCATAGCAGAGAGGTTGAAAGGGGTGATAGGGAAACTAGTTTCATGACATCAAAATGCTTTCATCAAATCAAGGCAGATCACTAATGCAGCTCTAATAGCCAATGAAATATTAGATTGGAAGATAAAGTCTGGGCAACCTGGTCTACTTTTCAAACTTGACATTGAAAAGGCATTTGACCAACTCAATTGGGCGTACTTGATCAATATACTCAGGAAGATGGGATTTGGAGAACGTTGGATTAGATGGATTAAATTTTGTATTACCACAGTGAAGTACTCAATTTTAATCAATGGTGGACCTGTTGGGTTTTTCTCTCCCCAAAAAGGCCTCAGACAAGGAGATCCACTGTCACCTTTTTTGTTCATTCTTGCTATGGAAGGCCTAAGCAAAATGTTAGACAAAGCTAACCAGCTCCATTGGCTAGAGGGTTTTAAGGTGGGCAATGAAGAGGGCAATTCTGTGATGGTGTCGCATCTGCTATACGCAGACGACACTCTGATTTTTTGCGGAGCTGAAAAATCACAAGTTCTATATCTTCATCTCACGCTAATGATTTTTGAAGCTATTTCAGGCCTACACATGAACATGCTGAAAAGCACCATCTATCCGGTTAACACAATCCCAAATCTGGATGAGCTTGCAGAGGTTATGAATTGTAAAGTGGGATCTTTCCCTACATCATATCTGGGACTCCCATTGGGAGCTAGATACAAGTCTCAAGGCATCTGGAATGGAGTGATTGAAAAATTTGAAAGAAAACTGCTTCCTGGAAAATGTAATACCTATCCTTTGGAGGCAGACTTACACTCATCAATAGTGTGCTAGATAGCATACCAACATATTTCATGTCCTTATTCCCAATCCCAACTAAGGTACAAAGGAGACTTGATCAATTAAGAAGAGATTTTTTATGGGAAGGCAACAGCAACACTCACAAGTTCCATCTGGTTAAATGGCCAAGAGTTATTCTTCCTAAGAACCATGGAGGGCTAGGGATAAAGGACCTTGCCTTGCATAACAAGAGTTTATTGATGAAATGGCATCGGAGGTACAACATGGAAAGTTCAGGGCTATGGAAAACAGTAATTCAAGCAAAGTATGGGGTGGGCAGGGGAGAGCTCCACATGGTTCAGGCCCCTGGAAACACATTTCAAAGCTTTGGGGAGAATTCAAGCTCAAGTCATCACTCAAGCTAGGGAACGGGGCATATATCATTCTGGAAAGATAAATGGCTAGGTACAGAGACCCTGAAAGATGAATTTCCAGCTTTATTTTTACTTGCTAGTAATAAAGATGCAACTATCTCACATGTTTGGCAAAATAGTGCTTGGGCTTCACATTTCAGAAGGGACATGTTGGGTTTTGAATGATATGTTGGGTTTGCTCAATAAATTATCAGGTGCTAATGTCAATTCCCAGGTGCAGGATAGGTTGGAATGGGGTGAATCAAAAGAGATAACCTATACTGTCAAAAGAGGATATGACAATCTATGCTCCAACAAGGAATTGATCGACAAATGGCCACGGAAGCTTATATGGAAAACCAAACTACCTACAAAAGTAGTTGGCTTTATGTGGACAACATTGTATGAAGCTTGTCTTACTCAAGACAATCTTAGCAAGACAATCTTAGCAGAAGACTTATACCGACTGTGAATAGATGTTATATGTGCCAGATGGAATCAGAGAGTGTGAGGCATCTTTTTTTGCACTGTTCAGTAGCAACTGATATTTGGCGTATGTTTTTATCAGTTTTTGGACTTGCCTGGGTTATGCCAAACAGTATCAAGGAAGCTTATGAGAGTTGGTGTTCTTGGAGAGTTGGGAAATCCATCAAAAAGACTTGGTCAATGGTACCTGGTGCTATTTTTTGGAGTATTTGGAATGAAAGGAACCGTAGATGTTTTGATGGGATTTCAACTCCCAACCACACTCTTAAAGCCACGTGTTTAATTAACTTATTTAGTTGGTTCAATCAGGCTCCTGTAACTAGTGTTGAACTATTTCTTGAGTTTGTCTGCTCCCTAGTTGTCCCGTAAGTTTTCTGCATATGAGCAGACAATACCTTTATATTGTAATTTTTGCTATGCATCTTCTTGATGCCTTTTAATGAAATTCCCTTACTTCATCAAAAAAAAAAATTATTTGTGTGTAGCAGTCCAGCCAATAGTGACACAGATCAAGGTATAAAAGGACACACACCGAGTTCAGTTTCGCCACATCTAATCCTAACTTACATGTGAACTCTCAAAGATGCAGTTGGACACCAAAATAGCCACCTTCGGTCCAAATTTAAACTTCGTTTTCTCTGAGCATTGTGTCTAATCGACATAAAATGGGGAAACCAACAATGTCCTCAAACTGCTAATATAAAATGCACGTTTCTTTCTTCCTTTCTATTGGTCATGCCCTCAACATCAACCAGAGTTACTAACTCAATCTCTCGTGTGCTGAACTTTAGATTCCGATAAACCCACTTTTCCTGATTCAACTTAAACTTAATGCCACTGTTTAATTTCTTGTATGAGTAATTGTAACACGGAAACTTATTATCTCCAAGTGTATTAATTGCTACAGTATAACATTTTAAGAGATATCTGAGAAAAGGAAAATTATGATATTTATATATTAGATGAAAATTGCATAGATTCTTACGGGAGATAATTTCTTTAAGATATTCCAAGAGAAATTAAACAAAATAAATAATAATGGCTAAAAGTAAGAAAGTAGAGTATATAACTGTTCCATCTACTAAATTTTCTCAGCCGTCGATTACTCCATCCATTCTAAATGCACTCTTTTTTTAATAATTAATTTTAAATTCTCTCAAATAGCTCTACTATGGAACAGGAAGTTACTTTCCTTTTAGGTAGTCAATTTTTTCAACATGTCTGCTTCATCCATTTCAACTTTAAATTTTCGTTCTCCAAATGGAAGACATTATGAAAAAACACAAACACTAGAATTTGCAAAATGGTTCTTTTCTACTTAAATTGCTTATCTTCCCAGAGAAATATCCACAATCAATTCTCACAGTTTATAAGTTTTTGTATTACATGTCATAGATAATAATTATCTCGATTCTATAAAGTGCACATGCATCAAATGTGCCAAAATGCTAGTTATTCTCGAAACCTAATTAGGAAGTAACAAACCAGCCTTCAAAAATCAAAATTTCATATATAATAAATGAAACAGCATAGGAATCCATACCACTTCAGCTGTTTTAGCATTTGTTATATCACCCTGTACTTGAATAACACCTTCAATGGGAGCCATAGGCTGTAAGTCAATAGCCACAATAAGTGGTAGATCGCCATCCCTGGAAACCACATGAATAAGAAAGATAGTAGCACCTCATTACATACATGTTTGTGACATGGCCAGGAAAACAAAAAACAATATCAGTGGTAGCAACTTGACTTTTACAATTTTAAAGTTGGCCAAAGAGTGAATGCTAAAATCTCCTCTCTCACAGACGTATCATAGCTGCAGCGACAAGCCTCTAAGGTAGGAAACTTGTCAATAGCCTAACTCAATCACCGTTAGAAAAAAGTAATGGAGAGCAAACTTTTTCCCATTCCACGTGGTCATGTGGGGCAAGGTCAATGTGTTACTGGGATCTAGGAGAAGAGGATGCAGCAAGCTGAAGCTGTGGTTCATGACTAATTGTTCTTCCACATTATTACATGATGAATATGACAGCATGCTAATTAACTCTCTTTCCAAAAGATTGAATGATAAAATTAGGAACAAATGAGACAATGAGAAAACAATTCACAGAGACACTAACTACACAGGAGCACTCGATCATTAGATTTGAAAAGAAAACTTTAGAATATCATTATAACAGGCATCTTTATTCACTTTAACTAGCTAAGTGACTAAGATATTTGCTGGATTAAGAAACATTGACCTGGACAACCATCCCGAGCTCCTAATATGATTTATCCATCAAAAAGACAAAAAGAGGTAAGAGAAATTGTCATAGAACCAATTCTACAAAAAGGAAAGTACACATACTTGGTATCAGGTGACAACTTTGCTGGGAGATATAACTTCCGGCTTAAAACCTATAAAGAGAATAAAAACATTTAGGGACAAAGAAATGGAGCAAGCAATAAGGAGAAAGACATGTAGCATGTTAATTATATTTCTTTACTTTTTCATATCTTTCTTTGTGAAAAGTAATGGTTCTACCAGAAATAAGCCAAATAATGGTGGACTATAAAACATCATGCCAAATCCAATAGCATATAGATATTTGTCCAATGAGTACCTCTAAAAATCAGAAAAAGAAAATTCTTTCCCATTATTTCCCTAGTAAAGTTCAAGATTACAGTCTAAAACATAGTACTTTCTGGGCATAGACTAAACTCCCTCTTTTTAATTCTCAAGATATTTTCAGTTCTTATCCTCTATGTAGATCTGTTCCATCAGAGCTTAAAGAAAGCACAGAGGGAAAAACTTTCAAGTTTAGAAGCCAAATCATACAGCAAAAAACAAAAGTTGACCAAAATAGGACACCATAATAGAGATAACCTTGTGTAAAGAGAGATACACACACACAGAGAGAGGGGAGGGAGGGAGGGACAAACCTCTAGATATGACAACGTTTGTCCTATGGCATTAGTCACGCAAAGGGAAAATACATATATGTGCAAAAATAGGTTGAGAACTTGAGAATCTGTTCCACCTCCAAAATCTATATCACACTCTTAAAATGATTATAAAGTATAGTAATCCTTTCAAATAAGCATGAGTAAGCACAAGACTAAAGATATCAGTTGTGTTATTTGAAAAGAAAAAAAAAAAAAAAGGCAAATCTTTATAGCAGGTGATTATTGATAACAGAGCTATACACCGACACAGAAACAACAATAAGCAAGTTCAATTGAAAATACCTGACTCCAGCTGCCTGGTGCTGCACACAAATCCACAACTCGTTTCACACCTGCATATAGAAAGGGCAATTAGTGAAATTCTACAAACAACCAATTCTGACCAACAAAGCAATGTAAAATAATATTAGTGAACTCCTAATCTGCAGCATTTTGCTGAAAGAGGGTACTAGTATCCATCTACTCATTCAACATATAATTATTTCAAGCTCTAACCAAACATATTATGGGAAACATAGAAATTGATATCTTATTCTCCATAGTCCATATAAAATATTGCTTCAGAACCTGAAAATGTAGTTTGCCTACAACTTCTTTAAGTTTCATAAAAGGGGTTAAACCCTACATCAGGAGCTGCATTGCAATGAATTAACATAGAGCTGCCAGCTTTTCCAGATCCATCAAAGAGAAATCACCAGTTTTTACTCATCAATCAAGGAAAAAGAAACCTAATGAAAATTTATCGAGAAGAGAACCTTCAAAGATGTTAAATTCCTCATCAATCTGAAAGAGCTTGAAGGCGCTACGGGCACGCCATCCTTCTTCCTTTGCTTTCCGATAGTAAATATCCTACAAAATTGAAACCTGTTAAGGATGAAGCTTCTGGTTATAAGTAAAACATAACAACACCTGCAATAAATCCATACTCTTTTGTCCCTCGATGCTTTTCCCATCGGATAAGAAAGAGTACCTAAATTAGGTCGTAAGCAAAAGACCGATTTAAACTTGTCACTTTAAAAGCGACAATGTCAAGTTTCCTTTGCTTTATTTTTACAATATTGAAGCTTATAAAAAATAAATATAAATTACTTGTAAAAGTAAAAAAGAAATTTTGTAACTTTGAATTAAACTACTCAAATCTTCATATTGGTAAATGATATTTTTTGTAATAATATTCAAGGTAACACATTATAAATAAACGACTAACATTTTATTAATTTGAATTTTCTTATATTTTGTAAGATAACTACATTACAAGCAAAAAGAAAAAGAAAAAAAGGAGAAACCAACATAAATAATAATATTGTGTAAGATAACTACACTATAGACAAGAAGAAAGAAAAAAAAAAAAGTAGGCCTTAGGCCACGAGCTTTATTGAGACCTTATTGCCTAAGCTAAGCTTATTTTTTACGTTATTCCAATTAATCATAGGCAAATTCAGGGTTTAGAATTAGTGAATTTCGTCCATGTTATTTATACATACACAGTTCTTTTTTTAATTTACTATACATTTCAAATGCGGTCATTATCGCCCAACAATTAATTCACAAGCTATATATATGATGTCCATAATCTTTAAAATGAAATTATTTTTTTTAGCGTCCCAAATATGAGTTGTGTTAATACCTAAAGGTTGTGCTTTTTCTTTTAGGACAACGGCTTATAAGAAAATTCTAGTTCGTTTATCTACAAAGATAACATGTAAAAAAATAAGTTAACAAAGCATGAGCTGGAGAAATCCCCTGATTACACTTCAACTGAAGCAGAATGAAGGCGTATAACTATAGAGGTTCGCTAAGCTTTTCGCCGGTTATTTTGAGAAATATACATGGCTGAGCACTTTTTAAAAAATAATTAAGAAAATATTAGCAATCTTTATTTTTTACATAAACGGAAATTATTATTTTTTTACATTTAGAGCATATCTTAAAGATAAGCAAATAATTAATGACCATGAAAAAATACACAAATCATGAAATCTTTGGAATTTCACACTCTCTCTCATCGTCAAAAGAAATCAGATCTCATCTCTCTTCGTATTATCTCCTCCTCTCATCTTATTTTCTCCAATCACTCAGTCTATCACAATATGCAATCAATTAGGCATGTATATTTCTCTCAATCATTCCACAATATTAAAAAATATATATTTTATGTACAACGATATGATAAATTATACATGATTTATACTAAAAAGATACATGTTATACTACATGTAGAGTTGTTATACCATCGAGGTAGTCGGATTATTTAGGGTATAATTTATACATGTTATACATTACGTGTAATTATACATGAAATAATTTATATTTACAAGATATTTCATGGCACTAAGAAGTATACGAGATAGTTCATTTGTTTGCTTCCGATTAGTTGCTTCTCATCTTTTTATATAATAATAGATGGCATATGGAATATATGGAATACGACAGCTCCGAATATAAAATTGTCTGACACTAAGGATTAATTATCTTAATTAAGGAGAAGTAGGTAACTGGAACTATGAGTGATGGATGATTTAAGGTACAATGTTTAAATTTTTTTGGCTAGGAATATAAATATTTTCTTGCCTTATGTGTAAAAGACCTAATGCTGCTACATCAGCAATGTTTTTTATATAATTTCGCCTAGTTATGTTTTTTGCTCTAAAAGATTGGCGGATATCAAATATCAATTCGGCGTCGAAATCAGCCACCAAGACGTACTTCCTTGAGAAAATAACACTGCATGGCCGTCTAAAAAAAGTAGCTAGCGTTTGGCCATAGATTCCCAAATTTATTCTGAAAAATCTGATTTGGGTGAAGTTTGGTTTGAAGATGAAAATATATTTGGACATCTATTTTGGGTGAAATTTGGTTTGGAAAAACATGAAGACTTATACCCACAAGTTCTAAAAACTATCACAAATATCCAACAGTACCATTATCAATAACATTCATTATATTATCGCAAACCATAGTCCTGCATATAAATAAATTTGATACAAAATTATCATATTTATAATGAACTACATGATACACTATCAGATGACCGAGAAGACGAAGCAACATTGTGATAAAATAATAAAAGATGGACTCTTTTATAAAATACAAAAGTTTGGGTAATTTTTAAAAAATATAATAGTGATAGGAATTTGGCTAAAATGTAGGCAAAATCTATGGCCAAACATGTGTTTGCCAAATAAAATCCAAGTTTATTTTGGCAAAATCTATGGCCAAATGGATCCTTAATATCCCAAAATTTTGCACTTTACCCGAAATATCTAGTTAAATAAATTTAATATAAAATCATAGCCATTAGCACAACTATTACCGTCTGAACTACAATATTACATATCTCCATATACAGACAACATCATATACTCCTAAAAACTTTACATTATTTATTATACACGTTTTCCAACCTAACTTTATCTCTTTCATTCCATTCCTCAAGAATAATTTTTTATCTTCTAAAACTCACTGTTGAAATTACTCACATCTTTTTTTTTTGTCTTCTTCTCCTTCATTTTCTTTCTTTGTCTATTTCTCTCTCTTCTTTATTCATTCTCCTTTTTTTTATTTCTCATTTCAAATCTAGATTTCTTTCTTTTTATTTTGCAGTTTATATGAAAAAGTTTCTTTTGAGTAGATAGAAAAATTGCCAAAAACTCAATTTAAATCTTAAAAGAATTTATTTGATTAATACTACGGCAATGATATTAGAGTGGCAGTAGAAAATGTAAAAATTTCTAGTCAAGCTCTGTGTATTTCTGTTGGTGTTTTATTGGTGGTTATGATAATTTTTGTGAGAATATGAGATTTTATGGTAGATCGACAGGTTATTTTTTCATACAAGTGGTTATTGCTTCTTCTTCTTCTTCCTCCTCCTCCTCTTATTCTTCTTCTTCTTCTTCTTCTTCTTCTTCTTCTTGCCATAATGGTGTTTTGTGAGTGAAGATCCTTTACAATAAGTGTTGATTGTGGGTATGGGTTTAATAAGGAAGTTGGACAGTACTTATACGTAATTTTGTATATATATATATNTCTTCTTCTTCTTCTTATATCATGGGTATTTTTGCTTGTGTAATATTATATTTTTCTAAATTGGATCACTAAAATTTAAAATTCTTTGTCAAACTTAAAAAGGGGATTATAATTTATGTATAATAGGAAGAAGTTTGGTGGTTGTGGAGAAGACAGTTGGGTTTGATGGAATTTTGGGGCTGAGAGGATAGTAATTTTTACGGGGATTTCACTAGATATGAAGGATTTTGGGAGTGATTAGGCGAGATTTCAAAATTTTTAACTACTAACATTAATTTTAAAAGAATGTTAGGCTAGAGGTTGGGCTAGCAACTATTATGGTTGCATTGAGGAGCCAGAGTCTCTCGTTGGTTTTCTAGGTTTCACTTGCTAACCCTTATAATTATTTTTGGGCTATGAATTGTATACCTTATTTTGTGGCTATCAGTTGTCATTAGTTTTCCCGGAGTGGCTACAAATGAATTTCTCTCTACTTTCTTGAACTGACAATTGGTTCTGGGCCAAGCCCATTTTCACAGATGAACCGTAAAAAAAGAGAGCCCAAATTTCGTGCCACCTTTAAAAAGTATTGGTTTGTATAGTAGAAAGATAATACAACAATAAAATTACAAGTTGCTGATTTAATAATAGATGGATTATAATTGGTGTTTCTAAAAGAGTTATGCACTTAATACAGTAGTACCATGTTTGGCTTTTAAGTAGAATCATTTATATTTCCTGCTTTAGCATTAGATACAAATTTTATAATGTTGGCTATTTTTGTCAATGTTGAGCTTTTTGCAGTATAATAACAATTCGTACTATTAGTAATACATCGTAGTTTACCTGCCAAATGTCTAACCAAACTAGCCAAAACACTCAAATATCTTAGTAATAACGTCTGTGTTGACACAAATGACACCATTTGGAAATTTAGATCTTGTAAGCTTAAATCTTCTGCCCAAGCTATCATCAAGTATTTCCTCCAATATCCCTTTTAAAAAAGATTTCAACTTTTAGTATTTACTGTGTTAGCATAAAGCTTTACTTTTTCTTTCTACCTTTTTCCAAGCGGGGTGGACGTAAGAAAGGGAAAGGAAGAAAATTACATTGCAAAATTGTATGATATTATAAAAGAATAGAGAAGTTTACCACTAGCTACACAATTTAAAGTTTAAGGCATTCAGAATTCTGCTCCTGAAGTGTTTCAGGATAACTAGTGTTAAAGTTGGTCCTTGTACAAATCCTCTTATTGATTCCAATAAGATTACACCACAGTAGATTCAGAATGCATTAACTGACACCATCAAATAAGGTCTGTCAACCATATCACAGCAACTCCTAACTCCTGCTGCCTACAAGATTCACTTCCTGAAGCAGTATCACAGCTTAATATCAACACATAAACATGAGAGGGTTCAGACAAGAATATGGGCATTTAATTTCACAAATTTACATCTTCAAAATACAGCTCTGGCAATGGCTCAACCAAAAACACAAGAATCAAGAGGTTGCCACATCATACAGATCTCCTCCAAGCTTGTAGCTCAGCTGTTTTGCAAGCATGCAACCTGAGCATCAAGAATATTACTGGCTTAGTAACACTCAACTTCTATCACCAGGTAACTTCTTTTCCTTCTAGCTTGTAGAGTCTAACAAGACAACACTATGAGCCTTAGTGCTTGAACCTGCACATTAACAAATTCAATAGTTTGAAAGGGTTAGTTCAATATTCTACAGTAGAAATCCATGCCAGAAACCATGTTGGTTTTAAGTTGGGTATACCGTCATGAATGAGGTATGCAAGTTCCAAAGTACAGGTTGATGATATTCTGCTTTTCTTAAAGCAGTGCCACAGTTTAAGCTTGCCGTTCCTACATTATGCCAAGTATTGGTATAGACAATTGATTTTCTTGAACATCTATCAAATGTGAGGTGCTATGGTGCATGTTATTTACAGATGACAATGTATTATGTACTGATTGACGAGACGCGAGGCGGTGCCAATGCGAG